GGGGGGAGGAGGCTAAACCAGGGGGGAGATTGGAGGCCTGTACCAGAGGCAGATTAGTGGTTGTGTTTGTTTAGACTCTCGCCTTGCACAGTCGAGTTGGGGAGATACTACCCCGGGTAGCTAGACCAACCAGGGGGGAAGGAGGAAGGGGGGAGGGGGGAGGTGGCGAACCACACTTTTAGCGGATGTTGAATTTGGAGACTTTGCCTTCTTTTCTTTGGACTCGTAGAAATACCTCTATTATCTTTTTCTTTTTTTTCTTTTTTTTTTTTTGGGGGAAAAAACAGCCCGATTAGATGCTAGAGGTGCTGATAGGAGCAGACACCGCTAGCACACTCGGGGAGGCTCCATCCATTGGTGGGGAGCAACACCTGCTGGAAATCGGGTCCAGCGTCCCTATACACAGAGGTTTGTCGTAAAGCGTGCCACGTGTCACAGCCTAAGGATCCTAATCAGCTGGTATGTGGACACGTAAGCACGCAGATCTCATTATGATGAGCAGCATCAATCACCCTCTGCCCATCTCAATGTAAACAATCATTATCCCTATTCAGCCGCTCTCATAATATCTTCTACAAAACCTTACAGCGCTATGAGGGGGGGGGGGGTAGCCAGAATAGAGAATTTAGAGAATCTAATATAACGAATCCGACATTCCAGAAGCTGCATTAAACCACCTGGACTACCCCAAGAGCTTAACACCACTGTTCTTCCTATGAAGCCACGCGGTGAATTCACGACACAGCCAACTAGAATTCACCACATGGCAATACATCACATCCGCCGGAATCGCAGGTTATGCATACCCAAATTCGATTTATCAGTCGCTCACCGCGAATAGAAGATGCAATTAAGGTGCCAACAAAGCATGAGTTCGCACCCCACCCTCAATTACTCACCTACCACCCAACGACCATTGAGCAGCAAAAGCAGAAGGGGCATTCAGAGCAGGCCTCCCTTGATGAGCCAAAACCGTAGTAGCCACATGTCGAAGCCCTGATGGGCCGCACAACAGAAATCGACAGCGCCACGTGTCCCGTGGCCAGACATCCCATTTGCAGTGCATATCGGTCATACCCCATTCGCACGCGGCCAGAGCAACCCTACCAGTGCCTGACAAGTGTGATAAGAGAAACCACTGCCTAACCCACCCCCTCGCGCACCCACCCCACCCCTAACTGTCCCCCACACCCTTCCAATCTGCTGAGCAGACCATTCCAACAGCCCCTTCGCCCACCCCCCAAATCGTCAACATGATTGCAAGGAAGAAAGGGCAGCGGGGGAGAGAAGGAGGGGTAGACAAAAACGGAAACCCCTTCCACTCTTACCAAACCCCCGATATTAATGTTCTTTATGTGGTTGGCGTTGTTGTTATTAATATCATTGTCGTTGTCACTGTTGTTTTTATCGCAATCCTGCGTGCGGTGGCTCACGATTTCGTCACTCGCACCAGTGTCGTGCTTGCCGTTGTTGTTATTAATGTCGTTGTCATTGTCACTGTTGTTAATATCGCAGTCCAGTGTGCACGGGCTCACGACTTCATCACTTGCACCCGTTTCGTGCCCGACTGCCGTAGTCTTGCCGGTGGGTGCCCACAATCCCTACATCGTGATTGCTGCTGGTGTTGTTGTTGTTATTGTTGTTGTTGTTGTTGTTGTTGTTGACGTTGTTGTTAGACAAGTCCAAGCTGACGATCCCTATGTCTATACATCGGACCAGCACTAACATGTTGTTATCAATTGCATTTTTATCAGTAGCGAGGGCAATATCAACACCAGTTCGACCCTCCTCCAGCTCGTCACTACCAGTGGTGCACGCGTCGGTGTAATCCTCGTGCAAGTAGAACTCCTCCTCCAGCGCCGCATACACATCTTGCCCCTCCTCGAAGATGCCATCGCAACACCGCTTCAGAGCCTCCAGTTGACCATCCATGAGACCATCTCTTTGCAGATGCTGCAGCTCCCAGACGATCTGCAACATGTTCGACATCACTTCCCGATACGGCGGACCCGATGAAGCTGTCCCCCCAACAGCCTCAGGTCGAACTCCTAGTTGTGATTGCAGTGCCTCCACCATCTCCTGTAATCGAGAACGAGCTCCTTGAATGAATATGAGCCAGTCGGTGGCCCCTCGCTGCTTGTCCCCCATCGAAGCCATCTGTATACCGCGGCAGAATTCGCGCAGACGATCTCCCACGCTCCCTACCAACCCCACATCTAATGGGACTGCCACGTCAGCGTCACCGCTAACCTGGGGCTGGACGCGCAGCTCAAGCTCCCCACGTTGACCCACGCGGGCGCCCGATCGCATGGAAGGCAGTCGGGCCCTGCCGGCTGCGACCACGCAGAGTGTTAGCGCCCTTTTTTTTTTTTTTTTTTTTTACCCAACACGCGCTCCATCTTTTGGTGGGGAGCAGCACCTGCTGGAAACCGGGTCCAGCGTCCCATAGATACAACCGTATCCTCTCAAATTGGCACAAGCTGGGAACCGGGCCCAGCGTCCCTTGAGTACGTTCAGAAAAACAATCAGAAAATTTCATGACAATGAAACTAAGGATATACTGAGGCTACTTCAGAGCTTATTTTGTAAGGAACATTCAGAGATAAACAAAAAACAGAAGAAGACTCGGGAATCCACCAACAGTCCTCCTCACCCCACTCCGGCAAGACTTACTGCAGCAAAGCCACCATCTCTACTGCTGCTATGCCCTATTTCTGTCCTACCAGCTAGCCCCTTCACTAGCAGGACGCGTGATACCTTTCTCTCTCGATCCCTTACCTTCCCGTTACTCAGAAATGGTACGGGAATAGACTGCAAAAGTCCTAAAAAAGCCCCCAATCCCGCAAAATCTCTAACAGATCCTTCCAAGGATCTCCAACACTGTCGTATTCCCTGCCGAGCTTCCAGGCCTCACACCCCCCATCCTGCTGGGTTACAGGGCAACACAACTCACCCCAGCTCTGGCCAGCGTCGTCTCAGCAGCAACCCTTGGTTGTCCCGTGGGATGGCCCCCCAAAGCACCCCCAGATCTCTCTACCAGGCCTCATGCCCCTGCATCAACAGGTTACAGGGCAACACCCCGGCACCGACCAGCGTCGTTCTGGCGTCGAACAGCCTTAGGTCACCGAGTATTACAGCCTTGAAACTACCTAGAAGAGATTGTCAGGAAAACCCAGCATCCATAAGACTTTTTAAGGACAGAACAGACTACCCTTTTTTTTTAGAATTGGATACATAAAAATTCGTAATTTGAAAATATAAAAAAGGCCTGGCGGGTCCTATAAATGCTCAGAAACCCTTGGAATCCCTAACACTCCTTCCGAGGCCTTTCAACACTGTCCTACTMCCTGCCGAGCTCTTCCAGGTCTCACACCCCACATCCTGCTAGGTTACAGGGTGACACAACTCACCCCAGCTCCGACCAGCGCCGTCCCAGCAGCAACCCTTCGCTATTCCATAGGATGCCCACCCCTAAGCATCCCCAGATCTCTCTACCAGGCGTCATGCTCCTGCATCACAGGTCACAGGGTAACACCCCAGCTCCGGCCAGCGTCGCTCTGGCATTGAGCAGCCACAGGTCCCTGAGTATAACAGCATCACAAACCACCTGAGAAAAGTTGCTAGGGATCCCGAGAGCCCAAAAGCATTCTTAAGCCCCCGAACAGCCATCTGTGAAAAGAAAAAAAAGAAGGGGGGGGAGGTCAAAACTAAATACCAACCATCCTAAAGTCTCCCCCTCAACAAAGGAGCCGTCGGTCTCGACTTTCGGTCCTCGAACCAGAACACACTTGGTCTCATACCCCCTTCTGCATGGGTAACAGGGCACCTCAACCTTCCCCAGTACCGACCAACCTAGTTCTGTTGGATAGGAAGTGCCTTCCTCCCTCGGCAATTCCCATAGCGACAAACCCCTACACAGGTTACAGGGTCAGAACCCCGGCGCCGCTTGTGTTGGACGATCTGGTTATGCCTTCCACCCTCGGCATAATTCCATGGGCCTCAAGCTCC